GGTCTATTTTAACATGTTATGGAAGATCAGTTATTATTCTTATTATGCCGCTAATTTATTTTATATACTTTATCATAAAATATAATAATATTATAAGTGATCTAATTCAGTAAATATTCTTTCATACCATCAATGATTGTAGAATTTAAACCCATGGATATCAGGATCGGTTTTTTTTGGGGGATAGGCTTGTGAAGAAGAAAGTTTATCCCTCCCTCGATCGTCATCTGGCTGTTGAATTTTTTGATATCTTTTATACTTTCCCCAAGGCTCGAGCTGTATGAGGCAAATACTCATCCACCTATCATTCAGAGGCCACGTCGAGCCTCATTCCAATAGTAGCGCGGATAGGGAAGAAGCAAGTTTTATCCCGCCTTTGATCAAAAGCTAGTTGTTGCTGAATTTTTCGATCTCTTCTATACTTTCCATATTTAAGGCTCGAGTTGTATGAGGCTAAAACTCATCTACCTACAATTCAGAGGCCACGTCGAGCCTCATTCCAACAGTAAGGGTGCGACTTAGGTCAACTAACACACAAGAGGTATAATTCACTCAACGATTATATTTGGGTTTCGAACCCCATATGAAAAGCTGTGAGCATTGTTATTTGCGAGGTCTTGATCATTGACACAAACCTCGTTTTCATTTTATTTATGAGAATTCAATGTCAATAAATCATCTCTATCGTGCGATTATATCATGTTTGAGCATGACTGCATGATGAATCACCTCGTGCCTTGACCTAGCTATCACCTAATAATTATTATGTTCACGATTATTCATCTATCAATGTATACAATGCTCTAACCACTCATATAATTAGTTTTCTGAAAAATATAAAGTAATTAACTCATGAACATATTATAGTCGATAAGATAATGTAAAAGTTATAATTATATAAGTTAAATGGTTGAGATGTAAACGAAGGAATCAATTTAGGTGTCATGTGATTAGAGAAAAGAAAAGAGTCTGATTTTGGAAGCTTTGGTACTTTAGGACAGTCTTTATATGAAATTCTATAATCACTCAAAATAAAAGATGATATTCTCTTCTTCTTCCTTCTTCTCATAGGGTTTACCTTTTCCTTTTAGCTTCTTTTAATCTTTAACTTACAAATTTTCTACATCTTTAACTTAATAATATGCTACAAAAGATTCATCTAGTAAGTTGTGTTATTCAAGATTCTAAATACAATTCTACTTTTGGGTTTAATGGGTATCTTACAGACAGTATGCCACTAACAAAAACATTTTCAAGAAAATAAATTATATTCAACTATAGTAATAGTAATTAATAATTAAATTATTTTCATGGTGTATAGAGTTGATAGTAGTACTTACAAATGTACTTTTAAGCAAATTCTTCAAATGCACCAATTCTTTAAATTAATAATGTGAATCTTGATTCCATTTCTATGGTTGATTTAACTAATTATAAAGTTTTTCCCCCCACTAGCATATACATCCATTATGTTGTTCTTCTATTTATTTATTTATTTAGGGAAATTTGCACTTTTAATCCCTTAAATATTGATAAATTGTGATTTAGCCCTTGTGATATTTAGCTAGACATATTTAACCTTCAATAATTTGAAATGTGCACCTATGATCCCTGATCCCTCTTATTTTGAATCTTCATAAATTTAACAAACTATATATTAACCATTACATTATATAATTACTCATGTTTTTTCTTAAGTTTGGATAATACTTCATATTTTAGAGTACTACAGTTCTAGAAATAGTCTAATTATTAGTACTCCCTCCATTTCAAAAAGAGTGACCTGGTTTGATCACTTGGCACGGAGTTTTAGAAAATAAAGAAAACTTTCGAATCTTGTGGTCCGAAATTAAAGTTATGTCAAATGTATTAAATTGCCCTTCAATCTTGTGGCTTTAAACATGCCACGTGGAAAGCTGAAATTAAAATGTTACCAAAAAAAGGAAAGAGGTCATTCTTTTTTAAACAAACTAAAAAGAAAAGGAGGTGATTCTTTTTGAAACGGAGGGAGTATAATTTTTCCATAAAAAATTAAGGGATCGAAAACTCAAAGACACTTGGTAATTTTTGTTCTTCTATTCAAGATTTGCTGGACAAAATTACATGATATCTACATAATTGTGTTGGTAGGAGGTAACAAATACCTTATAAATTTAGATGTGCACAAGATAGTTCTAAGACCACAATTATAAAAAGTGGCCAAAATTAACATATATTTTTAATTGATTAAATATTAATTATGCTTTAAAAAGGTTAAATATGTTTGATTCAATTGTCATAAAGATCAAAATTAGAATTTCAAGGATAAAAAATGCTACCATTGTCTTTTTCAAAACCATGTTATAGTAAGCATGGGAGAGAAAAAGGAGGACATATTAAAGATGGTGCTTAAGTATCAATCAACGAAAGCAACTTTCTTTTATCATCAATTGAGATTCTCCATTCTTTAATTAGATGTCTGAAATTTAAACTTTTGGAAATGAAAAAAAAAAACACTATCGAAAATGCTATCTTCAAAAATAAATCCTGCGATGCGTGAATTTAAATTTAATCAAAAATCTCGATACAAATATATTATATCGAATATTGAGCGAAAAACCAAAAGAACTTTTCTTTATTTGCTTCAAAAGTTACATAATTGTTTTATAGAATTGAGTGCACATATAATGTGTGTGTGAAAGAGAATATCTAATCTATTCAAATTCATTGATTTACAAAAGAATATAATATTTGGTTGAAAGAAAAGAATATCTGGAATTCCAATTCTACGACTCTAAATTAAGGAAAGGTAAGTAAGAGTGAAGGATCTTATAAAAAGGAACAAATTATGTCTCACAAGAATTTAAAAAGTATATTAAAGGGAGCTTAAGGGATTGTGGGGAATCTTCTTCTGCTAAATAACTTTAATGAAGTGGATAGGAAGGTACCTAGATTCTTTATATTGTTTTCTAATTAAATTATAATATTTCTTGAGAAAGATTGGATCTTGACCAAACTTTTAGCACAATTTTCTCAAATCATCGATCATACCATAGTAAAGTTTGAGAAAAATAAAATGAAATTGGATCTTATTATGTTTGTAATCGCGGATTCAAAATTTTTTTAATTATATTTTTCAAGTTTTAAACTTGATTAACATTTGAAGTTGAACCGAATTTCAATCTAGTTCAAATTCAGACATAGGGTTTAAAGTTAGATATTGACTCTCTAAAATATTTCGTTGATCACTACACCCTTTCTATTCATCCTAAGTAAAACTAACATTCTATTTTCATTATGATTTTTTTTTTAGCTATTTGTGGATATATTGTTTGGATGAGATGACCATTCAAGAAAAGGGATTTTTTTTGTTCTTCATTTTTAACACACAGCTTCCTTAAATTAAACCTCTTAATATTCATTTGTAACTTGAGGAGAGGTAGTTATCTTATTTTGTGAATAGAAGAATTGCAGTTAGTGGAACAAGAATTTCATTTATCTTTTTAAAACTATGCATGAATAATTGGAATGAAAAGAGCATATTTCTATATAGACTAATTCTAATTTCCATTTGTTATCTTATTTGTAACATTTCAACTTTGGTATCACTATGTCATGTCTTAATTATTGTATTTTTAATCATTTGGTGTATGAAACTCAGTCATTTAGTTAAATTAAATTTGTAAAGTATAAGATTAGGAGGGATGCGATCCCTATTAAGAATTTTTCATTTTTAAAAATTGACTTGAGATCACTGATTAAGAATGCATGGATCTCATTCATATTCTACATCCTTTGGTATATACGGCATGCTATGATTAACCATAATTAAACTTAGGGTGTGTTTGATATAAAGAAAAATATTTTATATATCACCTAGAAAATAAGTGATTTTTAACGTATTTTTTGATGTTTGGTAATTAGTAAGAAAATATATCATATCATGAGCCTTTATATATGATCTAGACAAATGCTATAACATCATATCCGGATCCCCACCCTTTAAAACAGAGGCATACCTCTATTAGGATCTGAAATCTGACCTGACCCCAAATTCAGCTTGACACCCAACACCGACCTAGAGCCTGACTCCCAACCTATGATGACATAACCTCAACACGCAACCTAGGACCTAACATTGACCATGACTTAGAACCTGAATCCAAACCCTGATACAAGACCCCACTCTCAATCCTTAACTCATGACTCTTGATCCTGACTCGAGTTTAAAATCTTGACCTTGACCCTAACCCCAATCTTAGCCTTGATTCTCAACTTTTGATTATGACCTCGATTTAAGATTTGACTTCTTGTCATGATTTGAGGCCCTATTCTCGACCTTGGCCCTGATTCAGAATGGGGTTGGAGTCGGGAGTTGAATTCCAAATTTGGGTTGGGTGATAAGGTTGAAAAAGAATTTTAGAAATTTATTTTATTTTATATTAGAAAAGTCATTTTTCTTAAATTAAAAAAAAATCATTTTAAAAATATTTACAAGATATTTAAGCCAACCAATTACCTAAGAAAACTTCCTACCAAACACACCTTAGTGGTAGCATATAGTTGGGTACAACTTTTTTAGAATGACTATTAGACGCTCACTTAGCATAGCAGTACACAAAGTAAGATTAGTAAACCTTTTCCGTGCTTCAAGTATTTGATATCCCGAATTCATTGCTTCGATTAATTTAAATTCTAATCCTAGAGAGTTGATTATGCTAGAAACATTATTGCAAGGAGAACTCTATTCTTACCGCTCAAATACAAGACTTCATCATAACTGATTATGTATACATTAATATTATATATATAAAAAAATATATATAAATAAGTACTTAAATTTAATCTCAACTTACAAATACTTCAATTTAATTTGAATAGACACATGTATACTCAATTTGTCTCCACTATTTTATAAGCTAAACACTTCAACTTAAAATCATCTAGATATCTCTAAAAATTATGTGTTACATCAACATTTAATGTCCACTAGACACAATTAGAGCGAGTCACAATATTTACTCAGTTGACAGTAAAAACCAAGTTAATATATCTAAATATACTCCTCGAAAAAAGTTAAAACTCTTACATCTAATTATTCCACTCATATAGTAACAGTAACAACATAGGCCTTTTCATTAGAGGAATATTACACAAAGTGAAAGAGAAAGAGAAAGAGAGAGACTGCATCTAATTCCTTGGCTTTTGGACTTTGCCAAAAGAAAGAAAGAAAAAAAAGAGGTGTTTTGAAGTGTAATTGGGTGAATGATGGAGCTTTAATTTGTTGCTTTCTATGATCACTCTTCATTTACAAGACTCTCTCAACTCTCCAAAACATAACTTTTTGGAAGATTCTCTTCTCCTATTCCCCTTTCTTTTTCCTCTTTATTCAGTGTTCGATATTTATACTATAAAGTCCTGATTATTAATCTCAATTCACGTAACACACAATCTATCAAAGAGAATTTTTTTTGGCTCTCGAACGAAAATTTTCATCTGAAGTTCATATCAGACTCTGATTAAGAATGAACGAATTATATTCATCTTGCCACTATTCTTAGTGATAACAAAAAAGAGTTTACGCTTACATTGTCGATGTCTAGATTCTTTTATTATAATAATTAATAGGTAAAATTTATAACAAATTTGATATGATAATTTTGACAACGTAACGTGTAAAATGCTTTGAGGATTGTAATTTTTTTGCTCTGTCAGTGTATATCTATTTTATTTTTTTTAAAGGTTAGTTTGTCTGTCCTATGCATGGGATTCTCCTAGTGACACGTTTTTTAGATTATATTCCCATAATATATGGTCCTTCTGAATATCCCTTTTGTCTGGAAGTCCAATTTTTAGAATGTTCTATCCCCCCCCCCCCCCAACCCCCACCCACCCCCACCAAAATTTTAAATTGGAAAACTCCACCATAGTTTAATTTTTATGTAATATAATACTATACTAAATAATTGTGAAAAATGGACACCGCTATATATGTGTATGTTATGTACATATTGAAAATTTGCGCTTTTGGTCCTTAAATTGTTTAGAATTTTTAATTTCAATCCTCATAATATCTGATTAAATATATCTAACTTTTAATTAATCGAAAATAAATATAAAAAGAAAAAAGAAAGGGAAAACCCGCGTATATTCCTTTTAATATAAAAATCCCACCAATAATGATTTTCTAAATAATTAATATCAAGAAATTAAACGAATTTGTTTATTGAACTTTCTATTGTTAAAAAGTTTAAGTTAACAAAAAAAATATGTTTTTCTTTTTAAAAATAATGAGTATATCAACGAAAGAAATATTCTAGTTAAAAATATACTTTTATTTGTCTAAAAGTCATACACTTACAGAGCATAAATATTCAAATTAAGACAAGCTAAGTACCTTTTTTATACTTGATAGAATTAAACAAAATTATAATTATTAAAAAGATTAACGTTTCTGTGTATCATTGGTGCAATATTAAAGTGCCACATTAAAGATTAAAGAAAGCCTATGGAATATCTTTTTTCCTAAAAAAGAAAGCCTATTCCCCGTGTTTTAATTTATTTATCTTAATTTAACTTGGTGCAGAGTTTAATATAATTTTTTTTATTTTGTGATTTTAAATGAAAAATATGTATAATGTATTAAAATAACTTTCAAATTTTGTGATTTTAAATATATCACGTAGAATGTTAGGTGTAAAGAATAGCAATGGCGGAACTAGGATCTTTAATTAGGGGGTTTAAAATCTGAAGAAATAAACACACGGAGTAGTTGAAAGGGGTTCGACGTCTACAATATACACCTAAAATATTATTTTAACCATGTATAAATGATATAATTTTCCGTCGAAGGGGTTTAGGATGAACCCCTAGCAATAAGGTGGCTCCGCTACTGAAGAGTAGGAGTATGTATTGATATACTTTTTTAAAAAAAAGACATACCGAGAAAAAAAATAAGACAAGCAAATTAAAATAGAAAAAATGTTATTTGTATTAGAGAAAAATTAAAGCACCTCCTTCCAATTGTTTTCCAAAATATTCCTTTCTGCCAACTTTTGGTTGGCTTTTTATTTTTTTCTTGCATGCATTATATGCTCATATGAAAATGCATGTTATGATTTCTGGCACGTAAAGTATTAAATACTTCTACCTAACTGATAATTTTTTATTTTTTTTACAAACTCATTCAAAAAATTATATATTTTATTTGAGTTTAAGTTTTATGCATCAATAACATGAAAAACATTTGCATGGTCAAATTACTTTTATATATATGTAAATTTCTCGATAAGCATTAGTAGCGAATATGATAGGATAATAATCAACTTGTTGTTAAAGATATATCGAATATATTTACATTATCCGTATATAACTTAAATATATTTTCTAATTGAACTTTCTTTTGTATTTCATTATAATATGTCAAGAAAAAAGATCTAACTGGTAAAAACACGTGAATAATAGTCAATTTTCAGCAGATTTTCCTCGGAAATTTCTGTCGAAAATTCAAATATTTTTAATAATTATATCATTATAAATACTGGTAAATTAAGATGATGAAATGAGTTGATTGAGATTTCTCCGTCCTTAATTAATTAATAAGATGTTTCAAATTTAAATCTTAGAAATGAAAAACATCTTGTTGGGAGAGACGGCCACGGCCTGATTTAAGCCAACAATGCGTGGATTCAGATTAATCAGGTTCTTATACGGATACCATATATTGAGTGGGAAAAAAAGAGAGGATTAGTGGTGTATATATATGATGCTAAAGTATACTTTTGAAGGAAATATAAAAGTTTACTTGGTGGTAGAGATTCGTTTATTTTCAAATATATATACGTACTTATTAGTACTTTAATTAGTGTGATCTCCTACATATAAAAATTAGTGGATGTTCCTCAAGAAAATTTATAATATTGATTAGCAAGATATACTAATTGCATACTTATTAATCTTCCTAACCATGATTAGGCATGGGATATGCAAGTCAAGGACAACTTAATTTACTATTAATCAAAATAATCAAATCATGCATGATGGAAACATAATTGTGTTCTCAAAAGGCCTAGCAAATTATTTTATGTATAATGTATAAAATAAGGGAAAAGGGAAAAAAATTCTCTAATTCGAGAGAAATATAAATCATCCTAGGATGAAATGGCACAAAATAAATAATAATGTTAATAGTTTGTGGGACTAATTTAGTAATTTTGAGAGTAAAAAGTACAAGGGTAAATTAGGAGGGGATTTGTGCCAATTGATCTTTAATTTTTGCTCCTCAAGGTAAATAATTTTTTCATGGGGAATAATTTATATTTTCACATCATAGCATCTAGGGGTGTTCATGGTTTGGATAAAAACCGATCCAAACCGAAAAATCAAACCAAATCGATAAAATAAAACCGATTTTATTTGGGTTTGGTTTGGTTCGGTTTTAGATTTTTGAAAACCGATCGTATTTGGTTTTGGTTATGGTTTTATTCAAAAAAACCGAAGAAATAACCGAACCGATAAATTATATTCATATATTTTATTAATATACATACTTAATATATTGTTTTTATAAACAATTTTAAAGATCTTATACATATTTTCATTAAAATTTCTTTATAATTTTATTATTGAAAGCAAAAATGGCCAAGATGAAACATTTATCTTATTGATTTAATGTATATGAGTGTCTATGATAATTTTTTGTGTGACTGAAAATGTTATTTTCTCTTCCTTATAGGCCAATATAGGATTGTTGTCACTTTTTTCACATTTTGAATGAATTGTTTCTTTTATTTTTGTGTATGGTTAATAACCGAATAACCGAACCAAACCTAACCGAAACCGATAACCACCAAACGGATAAATGTATATTATATTTGGTTTGATTTGGTTTTGATAATTTTAAAACCGATTAAGTTGGTTTGATTTTGATTGTCACCAATAACCGATCCAAACCAACCCGTGAACACCCCTAAATTAGCATTCCACAAATTAGGTTCCGTATCCTTAAAGTTGTCCCGCTAGACATAAGTTTTATTTGTGGGGCACATATCAGAGTTGAAGTCAATATTTGAAGTTTATGAGTTCTAGATTTTAATTTTTTAAAGTTGTGAGGTCCTAAATTAATTATATGTACATTTTCAATGAAATTTTAAAAAAATAAATATAGAGTTTGAATTAAAATTACTGACGGTTTCAACTAAACACGTAGTCAACACTCTTCCTCTACCTCTGATAAAAAAAGTAAAGACCAACCCATCTAAAAAACAAATTATCGTATAATTAAATGTTACTTCTTACCAATTTTGAACATGTGAAATCCATTCATTTTATTCCAAAGCTCTCTGAATGGTAAAAACAAATTGGAATAATATTGGGGCAAATTAGGATGTTTTCAATATCCCTATTCCGTCTTATCCAATAATATACCCCCAACTATAGTACCCAAATCAATTTGAATATTTGTTATCAATAATTCAAAATTCTATTATTCAATCCTATCCTAAGCTTATAAAGTGATAAACATACAAATTAAAGGTTGGTATTTAACTATATATTTTGCATTATAATGAAATATTATTCTCTTTTTAGGTTTTGTGGAAAGTGAATAAAATGTACATTTACGGGTTGTAAGGCCTTCTTTAAGAATCTTTTAATTGGCAAAGTATTCAAATAATGAATAAACTGATTATTCTATTAAATCCCATAAAAATCCATTTTGGATAATTAGGTTCTTTCATTTTTTAATTATTTACCATTTTCCCATTCTCAAAATAAATAAAAGTTTTCTTAATTACCTCAATCATTGATGTCTTTTGTAATAAATTTGTGATCTACAATTAAAAAATAATTGGCCACTATACTAATATCCTCTTTGATATCAAGTGAATTCAACAATTTATATAAAATTGAAAATATGATTTTTTAACAAATTTTATTGTGTAGTCATGAAGTCAACTCTTGTCAAAATCAATGTAGAATGAAGGAGACGATCCTGCTAATCTTGTGTGGACTTTGCCAATTTACGGGTCCCTT